CAACATATGGATGACATTCGGATCCTAGAGCCTCTGGCAGCAAGCCAACACTCAGTACTTATTGCTAACATGGAGGTACAGCTGCAGTAATCTAACGCACTGCAACCAGATTACAACTAATGGAAGACGGGTTTTGACGGTCTGACTCGAGGTGCGAGCCAAGTGAATTGGTTTCTACGGCAATCTGCATCTGCTGAAGCTTGCTGATCAGTTATAAAAAAGGATTAAACTCATTAACCAATTTGTGCCTCTCAAGTGTCGGAGTCGGACTGGTCAAACCACATTGAGTTGGAAAGGAATATGGTAAGCTGGCTCAATAGCGGCGAAGGCTGCGGGACAAATTCCTTGCCTCTAGCTCGGTCGACAACTATGAGGTGTAGGAAGAGCAGCGAAATATGTGCAAGATTGTGAAAACGAGCAAGTGAAAGCATTTCTAAGAGCAGCTTGCAACCGCAAAAATCCCGTCCCGAAGGAAATCTTCGCGTACTTGAGGCCGACAGGTAACCTACAAGTGATAGAAAACGCAAACGGACAGCCCATAACCTCCAGTACTGAGCATCCGTACACCTTGGCGGCGCACTTTGCTTCTGTGTTTGTAAATGACAAAATGTCTGTACCGAGTTCTGCGTGCCCAAACTTATCGAACTCAAGAGTCTGGAGTGCGATGTAGAGGTGCGTCAACCACTCGTCAAACTTGACAGCACAAAGCCAGATGAGCCAGACGAGCTCCATGCTCTGATTCTCACGTCCTCAGACGCCATCATCTCGCCTGCTGCAACTGACCCATTCAACAGATCTATGTCCGGAGGTTAATTGCTGACCAACTGAAAATACTCGGTGGCAAGGCGGATTCCGGAAGGCTGTGACCCCAGCAAAGTAGACAACTACGAGCCAATTTGTTTGACACGAAGTGTGACCAGGGTTGCAGAAGAGAGTGTGAAGAAGCGTTTGCTACAGCTATTCCGGTCAAAAGATCTCCTGACGTCCGCGAAGCACGGCTTCATACCAGGTCGTTCATGCATCACCAACCAGCTCTTGACAAGGCATGAATGGGGAAGTCCATCGACGTGATCTACATCGATTTCGGCAAAGCTCTCGACAAGATGAACTATGAGGTCCTGCTCCTCAAGTTGAGAGTGTGCGGCGTTAATGGATCTCTGCACCAGTTGATCCAGGACATTCTCGCTAGACAAAAGTGGAGGGTACAAGTCGATAGCCAACTGACCGCCTGATATCCATCGGCCAGTGGCGTAAGACAAGGCACTGTGCTAAGGCCTACATTTAGATCAACAATCTACCTCAGCCTCTTCAGTCATCATGTGTTGTTTGCAGACGACCTAAAGATGTAGACAGTGATAAGCACATCCGACGACTGCGGCTTACCACAACAAGACCTAAACCGCCTTTCCATGTGGTCTGCAGAAGTCCACCTCCCGGTCAACCCATCCAAGTCCGTATTCATGAGCCTGGGGGAGTGCGGTGATGGTCGAACCTACACTGTCGATGGTCAAGTGCTACATTCCACACCTTCCGTGAAGGACCTATGAGTAGTCACATTGCAATCTGAAGTCCGTTAACAACACGAATAGGCTACATCGTAACGAAATGCGCATGCTCTGGGTGTTCAAACGCAGTTTCTGCATATGGTCTAGCCTCTTCTCCTCCATCATCAGACCAACGTTAGAGTAAAGCTCGCTCGCCTATTGCCCGACCACTGACGGCGAGGCCGGGAGATAGAGTCGGCTCAACACGTCGCTACCATAATTCAGTGTTCCGCATAAGTTCGAATCAAAAGCAGAATTCCTAAGCAAGCTGATCTCGTCGTCTGGTATCGAGGTATGATCCAGGCTATAAAAGGCGTCCTAGATACGAGTTCCCTCAAGCATCTCTGTAGATTCTGTGATCTAGTCAACTAATATCGACGCTTCATCTCACGCAGTGCTAAGATCATAGTCGCTAACTGGACTTCTTAAAGCAGACGATGGTAAATTCGTTTTCCCCGATACAGTACACGAATTCCAGCGAGATGAATTATGCTTTCTCCAACAGAGCTCTTCTCGCTCACTCCGAGCCGTATACCCACAGTATCTCGAACACTGACGCTTTAGCTGTAGCGATGGGAGCTGCGGTCCAATAACATGCTCGTATGTGGTGGAAACCTAGCAGTTTCTTCACCCAATACCTGCAAGCATCAGAATCCCGCTACAGCACGTTTGGTATAGAACTGCTTGCCATCTATATGTCAATTCCGACACACATTAGAAGGCCGTGCTCCCACGGTCTACAGTGACCAAAAAAACTCCTCGCCTTCAATTCATCTTCTGAAAAATATCCAATACGGGAAAGCAGACATCTGGGTTTAGACACCAAGTTCATTGCGGACATACGTCATGTCTCAGATGTCGCTGGCGCTCTCCTCTGTCGCGTCAAACTAAAGTTTCACTCCTTGCCTATTACCAACTTTGCCACCAATCTCAGAATGAAGACCTTCAACGCACCGTGCAGCTCACCCCACTACATGTGTAACCTATTCTACTTAAAACCACGGTTAGAACTATTCCTTGTGACACTACCACAGGTTGTCCTAGACCTCTCTGTTTTTCAGCTGTATAGCTTTCTACATCCATCACTCACTGTTTCATCCTCGCATTCGTGCATCTTTGGTACTGGTCACTGAGGGTTTCGTTTGGCAAAGCGCAAAATAGATATGCGTAACTGGGCTGGCACTTGCCTCCACTGCCAGCGGTTCAAGGCACATTGACACACCCGCCGTTCTCTAAGCTCAATTTCTACACCAGATTCTCGGTTCTCACATGTACACTTAGACCTGGTTGCACCCTTGCCTACATTTCGCGGGTTTGCATACATACTGACATGTGTCGACCGCTTCACTAAATGGCTAGGAGCCATTAGTATACAAGACTTCACCGTCGAAACCATTACCCGTGCTTCTTGAACCGCTGGGTGTACACTACGGATGCCCGTCCACCATCACAACCGACAGTGGAATATCTTTCGAATCTTCTCAAGTAGATAGGTTTTGCAACTTACTAGGCTGTCACCGTATTCGTATGACGGTATACCACCTTACAGTCAGTCAATGGCCTAATCGAATGCCTTCATAACAGATTAACCTATATCTGTACTATTTCTGACTCTGACTCGAGCGAAAACACAGCTTACACTTCTACATATTCGCAGTGGCATCAAAGCTAGCTTGTGGTGTGCACCAGCAAGGCTGGTCTACGGCACAACACTTGAGCTGTCAAGAGAGTTCATTACAATCCAGTGCCATCGTTTATGCTCAACTCCAGCATCCGATTCGCCAAATCCCACTTTGAGAGTAGAACAGAGATATGCAGATGAAGTTTGCTTACAATCTCGTCTTCGTTTGTTCAGACAGTCCGTCTTCCTCTTCAGCCTCCGCACATCACCCCCTTTGGAGTTCTCCAAATAACCTTACCTTAGACAAGGACTGTCACCGGACTACGGTGTCCAACAACCATTTCGAAATTGCCTACTTCGAAGGCCCACCTCCAGCCTCACCTGGTGCAACCGCACATGTACATCCCCTGAAGCAACATCTGCATCAGTCACCTCAGATTAACCTGTAGCCCTTTACGTTCAGACTATACAACCTAAACCTCGGGCAACTCACCGACGCGGTAGAGGCTAAACTTCTGGTTCGTTCATCAGAATTTGCGAACGTCTGCTATCTGCCTTAACAAATGTTCCTCATGGTTACGTGTTTAACGCACAAATATCTTGCAAAACGACAAAAGCCGGAAAAGTTCGATAACTCAAAAAATATGCTCCTCCTTGCTTCGGATAGTTCTCCCGTTTTCCATACGGCATAACACCACCTGTCCCAACCCTTCCCGAATTTTACATTCCAGAACCCCAATCACTTGAAAAACTGCGGCAACTTCTGGCCCACTTGTCACCAGCCTCAAGTCACATCATCTTGGCTTCAAGCGAAAGACATTCCCTTTAAGACAGATAATGACAAAAGTGAGCACCTGGAATTCTGCCGGCCCGTGGCCGATAGGATCACAAGACTGTCTTGTAATCCAGAGGTCGCGTGTTCGAGCCTGCGGTGGAGACCGAGAGGCCCTCGCAGTAAATTTATCCCACGCACGACTGGTGGTGGTTGCGCGGCAGTGACGTGACGGTACTGCTCTAACATACACACTTAGCAGAGATTGACAGCGTTTCCTAGATGGTGATATCACTCTCATAAACGCTATGCAGCAAACTCTGGCTATCGTCTAAACATTGTGTGCTGTTCATAATGCATGTGGGAAACGAACATCGCATTCATGAAAATTGCCGGCAGATTACTTCACATGATTTTGCATGCACAGCTCATCAAATAGAAGGTTACGCAATTCATCAGTGATTTTATTGCCTACGTACACGAGCATACATGTGATGCAGAGATTGGGCTGAATTTATCATCATCATTTTATAAACCAGCGAAATATTTAGTTTCGTATTTAATTAAAACGACCTTAAGTAACCGACCGAAGTTTGACAGTTTTCATGACCAAAGCTGTTATTTCTATGTCACTGCAAGCAAGAATATACAATTACTTAGACGGTGACAGAGCAGATTTGCATAACTATAGTTAGGCACGTAACAAGTGTTTTTCGTTCCTCCGTTGCGTTATTCGCATTTACATTGTTATTTCTGTTTGCGCTCCAAGCATTGTTCTCGTCCTTGTAATTTGTTATATCTACATGGCGTAGCTAAAATATATCGTTGAACGGAAAGAAGCAAACTGACCACTTGCATGACAGCCACCTAATATAGATGCATAATTAGTATGCGTGGTCAATATTACGTAGAGCCGGTAGTAGTGACAGCAATACATTTGATCCAGTCGCAAAGAAAAGGAACGGCTAGAATCATAGTTGGAAATAAATAACGATGAAATGCAGCTTCCCAAAACCCAAATAAGTACCCTAGTCGCTTTGAACGATGCAACACACAGCATAAACACGAGTCGTATGAATATCTTTATCGTCAAATGATGACGAGAATGCACGAGGACCAAAGATAAGGCCAAACAGCTGTGGAAAAAACCTGAATGATGAAGAAACGAATAGAGAGTGAAAACGGCAATCGTAATTACAAAATGATGAATAGAAAGCTAATCTCGCAAGTCAATCTGAGACAGAATAGCGCAATCACGGATAGATGCGAGAGATAAATTTGGTATAAAAAAGCCGTGTCACAATGAAAGTGAATAATCAACCTTTATGTACAAGGTAGGCAGGTTTACAGAGCAAAAGGAGAAGAATCATAGAAACGTTATCGTTCTGAGCACATATATTACAAAATCTAGACGAATGCGGTTACGTAGGCATCATAGGGTGTGTGAGAACCGACTGTGGGATCGTCTGTCCTGAAAGCAGATCACTATGAGGCCAGCTGAATGTGCTCGGAGCTGCCAAGGGATATGCTGCCATGGGTGAAGGCCCAGCTGGATAACCGCTTTCATTCGCCGGCGTAAAGGAGGAATGTGGACTTGTTGGTAAAGGGAGGAACTCACCCAAGCTTGTGCCCTCCGGGGGATAAATGAACAAGGGTGGACAAATAACGAATTGTTGTGACGCCGAATTCGTAATCTGGCTGTACATAGAAGTGGGACAAGTAAAGGCAGAAAATGGAAGAGCAGTACCCGATCGAGTATCCGCGGTGGGGAATGTGTTGCACAGGGCGCCGATACCAATAGAACGTGGCGAAACGACCACAGGGTTCAACTGGCTTGGCTCAACTCTTGGAACGACTTGTGACGTGGGAGAAATGTCAAATACAGTCTTGTCAGATGGATCAGTCGTCTCCTGGTTCTGCCCGGGCGCCTGCATAAATCTTATCACCTCGGAAGCTCTGGGAGGGCAAAGGAGCGGGTTGGTATGAGCTACAGATAAGTCTGAAGATTGGAATGATGGACTGAAACAAAGCGCATTCGACTGGCCTTTTTTCTCCACAAACAAACCATTATTCCCGTACGCAGGACTCATCGACATAATCGGAGGAAACGAGTCGAGCCCACATGAGTGGTGTTGTGAGGGGATAACATCGAAGAGTGGTTCAGTACTAGAAAAATTCTGTGATGGTGCAGGACAAGGGTAAGTAGCGACAGGCAATGATGCACAAAAAGGACCTGGGTCGACAAATGAAGTCAAACACGGGTTGTTCATATCTGACACGGATGCAAGTGAAAGGGTCGTCGGTGTAGATAGATTACAAGAGACCATGTAAGCTTGTGAAACGTCTGGGCTCATGAAAGTAGGAGGGAAGAAGGCGCTCGGAGCAGTGTGCTGTGCCGAATCCGATGTAGTTGTTGCAGCTGACACGTGTGTGGGCAAGTATCCAGACTGTGGTTCGCTCAGAAGAGTAGGTGGAGGAAAGGTGATCGGTTGAGACGATTGCAATACAGCGCTGGAGGAGTCGAGAGTGACGTTGCTTTGGAAAAATGGAGCGTAAGTAAATCGCGGAGGAGGACTATACGCATTAGAGGAGAGGGTTTGGTCTGATTGTCTGGAAGTTCTTCCATTACGCTGGGTAGGATACGGACGTTTCTTTGAGTTTCGAAATGAACACCGTGGCTGTGCTACAGAAGGTGATTGAAACAGGATTGTTGATGGTCTTGAAGTAAAGGTGAGATATGGATTCGCTGTTCGATCTAATGTGGAATAAGAGGAGGAAACATACGGTTGCGTTATGATTTCCGAAGACAATGACGATGGAAAAGTGAACATTTCAGTCACATTCGGTTGTGAAGTGAACTTCAACCGCATTCTACAGTCTGCATCGGAATTGTGACAGATGCTTCGGTCAGTCGAAGATGGAGTGTTAGAGGTGAAATAAGGAGTGTTGGACGGAGCTCGAAGGTGCTCGGAAGAGAAAGGGTTAGGTGAATCCAACGGAAGTTCATTGGCACAGATATTTGGATTAAAGGATAAGGCAGATAACGGTCGTGATTGGACTGACTTCCGGACCTGGGTAGATGATCGCGCAACGCTAGGAGGACAGACGAAGTTTACAGGATTGGGAGGCGGGTGATGAGTTGATAAACGCTGGACGGAAGCATGACTTCCATCGGAATTTGAGAACAAGTGACAACAAGCAGAAACTTGTGAAAGGTGAAGGCTCTCTGAGGTTGCAGGCTGCAAACACGTTGATAATGTTTGCTGAGTGAAAAGAGAGGGGCCACAGTGAGCAAGTCCGCTGAAGGAACTCTCAGAACGACGACGTCTTGTGCGCCCAACACATGAGTTATAGGGCGTAGACGGTAATGCGACTGGATCGGAGGATATCTGCCTACCGAAAGTAGTCATACTAGTGGTGATTTCAAGGGGACAAAACACTTGCTGTAGAACGCTGGGGCGACTGGGGATCGAATCATCACATGTTGCTGGACGCATCCTCAGCTGAACGGCGCAAGCCACATGAGCAGTTAGTACGGAGAGTTGTTGTATGGTAAAGTCAGGGGTGAGGGAACAGTGGGCATTACATAACGAGAGCGGAGTATAGGAAGTAAAAACATCCCAGCCAAACACTTCCTCCCACACGGCGGCGCACAGAGGTAAAGTGGTGACACTGGATTGTGAAGCAACGATGGTGATAACATCATCTGACAGCGGTGTGAAAAAATCCGGAGTTAAAACCGGAAGCTGCTGTTCTGATGCTGAATGAAACTTTACCAACGGCTGAACCTCCGTCGATGGGGCGTCCGTGAAAGACCCTGGAGTTGGGCCGACTGTTGACTGAGGCTGAAGATCTGGAAAGAGGAAAGTATCGTTCGGCTGGCTATAATCGAAAACAATGGGTGGATGTCTATCGAAAGGGGATATTTGAGGTTCCAACAACTGACATTGGCTGTTGTCCTCAGCTGGTAAGTAGAACGGAGAGGACACTAAAGGCGGACAGCTTCTGCTGCTTCGACATGCAGATGAATCGATGGGAGAAATGGGTGAAAACGACAGATCCGGTGCGGAGGAACTTCTGGACAGCGGGTGTCCGGCTGCTTCGGTCACATTATCAAAAGACATGTGATTTAGGTTGTGTATGGCATCATCATCCGATAGCTGTAGATCTGGCGAAGGAAGATTCATGGCGACTGTTTCCTCACTGCTGTGATATGAAACTGGGGATGTTGGAAATGATGAGATGGGAAACAATGACGCGCTAGACAACTTGAGGGTGGTAACAGATTGAGTGTCCCCGTGACTGGGTTCATCCAGACACATTGGTAATGTATCTGAAGAGGAATCGCTGTCGTTAGCATCAGACGCAGGATCAAATTGCGACGAATATTGAGGATAAAAGCCTGTCGGAACGCTCACGAAGGAAGTCCGCGGTAAGGAATCTAAAGCTAAGGAGGAAGAGGACGGAAGGGTGGGTGAAATATGTAGTTAGACCGAAGATGAATAACATGAAACAAAAAAGCCGAAATACAGAATTGAGTTGTTGGCTTAAATTACGACAGAAAGGAATAGAGTTGTGTCGCAGTACGAGGCATAGCGAATTCGTCAGTTATTAGTCTGCATATCTACTCATCAATCTATTCGAAATATATTTACTTATGCATGTTACTCATACTAAAGCGAGTATGCGAAAGGCCAAAGGATCAATCAGTTGTAGATGGCGTCGCCAGGTTCACCTATGTTGAACGATAATAACAGTGAGAAATAGCTTCAAAATAAATGTAAAGGAATGCTTGAAATAATGTAACTTACAGGGTCGAGTAGGGTTTGATGGAAACAACAAGGGTGCTGTAGCGCGAACCGTAAACACGTCTCCACTGGTTTCCTCATCAGTTAAATTGGCAGAGCGCACGTTCGTGAGTAGTGGAGGTGAGGGGGATCTTGCAGCCCATCTGTTGGAACAGCTACTCACACCCACAGCATCTGACAATGAAGGAATCAACACAGGGATTTGGTTCGTCAAAGCGTCAAGTGTCGGTGGAGGTAGCAAAGGTGGTGAGTGAGAGGGGGAATGTCGAGTGACTGATGGCAGCTCAGCATCGTTCAACCCTTTATGAAGCAACGACATCGAAACACTGCGGCGAAGACATTGGTAAAGGATCAGGTCACTAGACGCGGAACGGATTTCAAGTGGTGAAGACGGACACGATTTGACGCCGTTGACTATTCGAGACTCACCATAAATACACATCGGGCTACTGGAAGGAAGATGCACTGGAGATGGGGAGAGGGAACGCGGCTGCGGAGAAGTAGGAATCGCGACGAACAAAGGTGAGGCGCCCGGGCGAGTGTATGCTACATCCAAGTTTTTGAAAGTGGCTGACGAGTTCTGAGAAGTGCCTACAGTAAGACAGTGGTGACGCTGAAGACCCGACGTAGAATCCAGGGAGTCACCGTGACGTTGTCGAACCTTAGGAGTATTTCTTCCCGGAGATCCCGAAGAGCATTTGAGCAGATAGAGCTCAGAATGACTGGGAGGGGGACTCGCATCCGCTTGCCTATGCTCATCAGAAGACGGTAAATGGCAAATGGAATCATAAAACGATAGACAAGGAGGTGCGGTAGGAGCGACAGGGTCCTTTGGTGAAACTACAGTGCGTGATAACGGAACAACACATTCCGCCAACACACTGTCGGTTCCTTCTAAGAGGGAAAGTGTGGGAGGTGGTGGCGTCAGCGACGGCGGTAAGCCCGGTGATTCGGCAGGGGAACAAACATCAGTGCAGAGTCTTTGATCCAACAACTGTAAAAAAACACGGTAAACAAAATGCGATCAGATGCAAATAAATATAGATTTCGTATGGAAGAAAGCGATGAAAGAACAGTTTAAGGGTTATAGTTATTTAGCGATCGGCGCAGGAACCAGGAAAGGACAATGTCCGAAGCGGTTAGTAGGAAAAATCAGCTACTGATCTGAGCGTCGAAGTGCGGTGGACCTATTTGGGATGATTCGGATAGGTATAATGGATAACAATCGGTAAAGTGGGAAGATAGGCAGAAAAAAGTCGATAGAAGGCGAAGTAACACAATAAACGACCACAGAGTGAAAAGAACCTCGGTGATTTCGAGACGGAGAAGCATCATAAACATTCCACTGGTCGAGCAGCCATCATCGAGGAGAGCGGATGAACCAGTCTAGCTAAGCTATTAGAGAAATCCCTTGATGCCTTCAAAGGAAGTCATCAACTTAACCTCCAGATGATTCATGAAACGAGATACAGAAACTATTATAGACGCCTGCCAAAGTGACTCGTCAGCAGCGAAGCGAAGAATGCGATGTAACAAAGACAGAAAGCCAAAGTGCAAAAAACAAGCAAGTGCGGTAAAAAGTGGTATACAACTGTATACTAGCTACGGGTTCTCAGTTCATATGGCCGGTCCATCTAAAGCACAAGTGATTCAAACGATCAGTACGTTCGTACCACCAATGTCTCCACCCAGGCACCCGGATTGGGTAGGAAGCAGGGTTTCAAAACCTACCCTTGACCAATTACTTGGGCTCAGCTGATAATCTAATTTATGCACTAAGCCGTGGTGGCACCAGTAACAATGATACGCAGAACTCAAAGAAAAATAGCAATAATAATAATAATAACATCTGAAGACGAATGGATTTAATTCGTCTGAAACTACTGATTCCGTAACTCAACCACACTCAATGACGCATCCAGACATTTATCTGGTCGGTCCCGATGACCCAATTAGGGAAGATGACAAGAAATAATCCGAATCAACACTTCGGTGTAACCACTCACGCGCTTCTGCAATGTCACTGACAGACCATTCAACTAGGCACAGTACTGGTAAAAACACGACAACGTAACGAATTAAATGTATACGGAGCATACGATGGGGTCACCGAAAGAAAATTCCAAGGTTTTCTGCCGAAAACAACATGAGGAAATTTCGTATCACGTTTCGTTTGCCCAACAAACACGAGTAACGCTTCGCAAACAACGGTATTCAAGCACAAGTAGGTTCCTACCGAACCCAACGCACAGTGACCAAGATTCTAAACCATGCGGCAACATCGTTTCAAACCCTTCCCGTAATAAATCTGTCCACATTTCGCCGTCTCAGCACGTGACCGATGTTTATCAATGCGAGGTAACCTACTTAGTGATAAGTCCTCCAAAGGTGATAGGGCTCCTCAGAGAAGTAAACACATAGACAACTTAGACCAGATGTTTGGCGATAAGGAGAAATTGTAGTGAGCCTGTTCCGTGTCGTAACAGTATCTTTCAGTCGGAAGGTGCGAAGCTAATCTGCATACTCTATGTTTGACAACTGGTCATTCAATGGAACATCAAACTTAGGAGTAGTTATTCCATCGAAAGTGGTGGATGAATGGAGAGATTGGGTAGACCTGATACACTGTAATTGTCGCTGCGAACTCAGAGTAGTTTTTCGTAGATCCTTATAAGACAATGGAAAGGATAGATATTCTAATAAAGAAGAGAATCTCACAGATACGATCTTCAAACATAGACACCACTGATCAACAGAAGCAAACATAGTGTACAATTAAACAAGATAATTATGATAACCTGTTTGTAACAATGGTGACGTTCAGGCACCTAGCGAAGGGTACACTTGTAGTCACTGAGCCTTCTGCATGGGCAAAAGCCAGCCTGACTTTCACTGATTCATTACTCATGAGAACCAGTTACCGCATCAGTAGTTTGTAGGCAATTGAGATCAGACTGGTGCCATGGTGGCTTTCGCAGGACATTCTTTGACTCTCTTAAGGAAGAGAATGATGGTTCACGGCAGTGAACGTAATTGCTGTCTGTGCTAAATACTGTCGAACAGAGAAGTCAATGTACTCGCTGGCGAGTCACCACCGTCCTTCAAGTAACGTTGGTGGGAAGTCGCCTGAGAAAGGAGTTTTGTCCCGCTTAAAAAGAGTATAAGCAATACTCAAGTGCGCCGCATTAATGCTTTGCTGCAAGACGGTCACCACTAGTCGCGTGTTGCTGGGGCCACCTCGAAGACGCCAGCACTCACGCAGGTGACTTTTTGGCTACAACCCAGATGCATCAGCTCTTCATGTCAAGTTCCGTCGATGGATGGACCGACTAAATTGTGCTTTGAAGTGCTCGGTCAAACGCTCAAGCCAACGTGGCTAAGAGTGGATAAGTTGTTTTCCCATATAATGTCTCACTCATGGAAACGTTTCTTGCACCTGTGCGTCGGATGTTCTGGAACAACACTTGCGTATACCCAGTGCCGTTGACTCTTCGTCCCACGGGCCAACGCAATCGAACGACTATCAGACAACTGGCCAGGCAACGTTCAGGGTGTTACGCATTTCTGTCGCACTGGCATTCTCATGGGATTAGCTGCCTGTCCCCAATTAATCCAATCGAAGTTTCAGACATCCATTCGCTATCCAGACTCATGGAGCTGAAAAGGCAAGCAGCTCTGACTGCTCCCTGGGTTATGCACTGAAGGTAATTCCAGTTCACAGTCGGATTGTCAAAATCATCCGTCAGTGGCAGCTAAAACTGTAGTCCGGACTGATAGTTTTGCATGGACTGTGATTACAAATGGTCGATAAGCACTCTGGAAGTTGAGTGTTTCGCCAAGGCTGGAAGATAAAGTGCTGGACTGGCACGTGCGATAGTACGATCACAATCAAAACAAATGCTCCAGACCCAACGACAACAGTGCACTGATGTGGTGAAGTGGACAATTTGAGTCAAGAACAGTCTGCCATCTGAGTTACTGTGAGTGGGGACAGAAACCGAGAAGAAAAAGCACCTCATCTTCAGACGATGCTAACTCGTTCCTATGGAGATACGAAGTCGTACCGCACAAATGCGGCTGTCCATTGGTGCTAGTGGAGTAAACTGCCATAAGCATGTTCGCTGGGAGCAATAGGGACACAAAAAACACAGATTGTGCAGGTACGACCGGTACTGCTGACTGACAAGCCTAATCACCAAACGTACGCACGTCTGGGCGGTAAAGTACGAGGGCGGTGGGCGAAATATGTTGCACTGAATAAAGTGTGGTTTTACAAGCATGCAAATCAAAGATACAGAGGTGAATAACGAATAGGTGAATAGATTCGCAAACGGATGTAAAACAAATCCAGTCAAGTTCGAACAGCGGCAGTAATGGAGACTCAGTAAACGCAGCGCAGTAAAACAAAGGACTGGATACTTAGGCTCAGGTTATGGTTAAAGGGCGGAAAGGTTATATAAACAAAATATAAACATATAAATGAACGCGAATGTCAGTTAGTTCGTTCGGATAATTATCGTTACAATCCAACGCCTGTCAATGTGCAAATTATCGTAAGATGATGCGTGGCATGGTGAGATGTTAAAGAAACGTGAACTACTCATAAATAGTCAGTAATGTCAGTCAGATTCGTGAATTGTAATTCACAGTATGTGATTCAGTATCGCCAGAGAATCGAACGGTGCAGTCACTGTCCATTGATTCGGAACCAGAAACGCAGCACACATCATCGTACGTGGTGAAGTGTGTTAGCGCTACCTCTTGGCTGAACTGACCCCAGAGGGTAGACGTTGAACGAACCGATATGACACGAGGCTCATAGTTTGAACGCGTTACGTATATCGAAATCAGATGTGAAGTAAGCGGCAATCCCTTGCTCAATAGATGAGGAAGAAGAGTTACAGGACGAGAGAAAGTTAGGGAGTAGTAGCAGCATTAGTGCCAGGGTAGACAGGGCATATGATGCCCATCGACTGACCAGTCGGAGAGGGGGCTTTGTTCGAGGTAGGCTGCTTTTAGCCTCTGACACAACAGTTTGACCCACAATGCAGTGAGATAAACGGAGGTTTACTTGAGACCCCACCCGGAGCTTTGGGCTCAACCATCTGACCCGCAAGGCAGATGGAAGGGTGATCGAAGGGCCTCATTGGGACTTATCTGAGACATACACACACAGCCTTTGAAGATTTAAGACAGCTCACATGTGCTTTATGATCGTGATACGTTACGAGGCTGCGACCACAGCCAACTGCAGGTGGGATTTGCTGAGTTTGTACCCACTTGGTCAGAGGTTGTCCGGCTTGATACGGAAAAATGCGTGGCACACACGCTCTAGAGCTAAGCAAACAGTGAGCTTTGAACCCGTAAACCTGCAAGCTCCTATGGCTAGGATCTAAGGGAAGAGGACAATCGACCTCTCCCCAACCGAAGAGGACTGTGAGACAAGTAGTCTGATCACAAGCAATTGACCTGCGCCATCCACCGTTACGGTGGTACACAAACCACGCTAAATCACAGCCTTGACGCGATGGTGTTCGAAAAGGTCAATATCATGCGTCCCTAAGAGCGGATGAAACCTCAGACCTGAGACTTTCCGATACGCAAAGCTATTTACTCCATGATTGATTTAAATGTCTCATTTGGAGCGATTGTCCAGATGATGGAAACAATCAATCGCATGGATAGTTTGCTTAATAACGGAGATGACTACTGTATCGCACAAATTCACGATCCAGCCACGCTGATATAGCACTGTGAAAGAAAGGCTGACTAAACGAATGCATCACCCTATCAAACCATGTGGAATATTAACCAAACTGAATCAGTTGGTGTAGTGAACTAGTTTGAAAAGCCCACCACTTACCTGATCCAGTAATGCCCGCGGTGAGCTAGAATGCGCCGGTCTGAGGGGTGATAAATTGTCTGAGCCGGGTAGACTCGAATTTACTCGAAAGGCAGGAGATGGATCAGCATCCGAACAGCTTTGACGGTTCACTGTGATGGATTCGTTTGGTGCCATTGTTCCGTCATTGCACTGGTTCTCGGCGTGAGAAGACCTGACTGAGTTCTGACGATCACTAGTGGGCATATGTGTGTGCACGGAGGAGCACGCACCATAACTAGCAGTACGTGAAGTACATCTACCACCTGTAAGAAAGAGAAAAGCGGATGATTGCAACTAGACCAACGTGGCAAAGGTATCGATATGCGTATTTGACCCGCAATGAGAAACGTTAAGTCTGTAGTGCTCAGGTTATAGGATCCTTTGATCGGTTTACGAGGAGTGGTTGTTTGAACGTATTATAACCAGTCAGAGAGATGCAGACATTTAATAGTGAATGACTGCCATCAAAGCGATCATCGGTGGTGAGTGCGTATTAGGTCACTGTAACCAATGACAGGCGTCCAGACCTCTTCCGGATGAAAGGCACAACAGCACGCCGGTACGCAGTACCGACGCTTCGCTGCCGCGCAACCACCATCAGTCGCACGTGAGCTAAAAATAATGCGAGGGTCGTCTCGCAGATTCGATCCCGCGAACTGGAATTATAAGGCGGGTTGTGATTCTTAAGGCCACGGGGCGGATAAAGCAGATTAATATTCCGGCGGAAGGTGGAAATGAGGTTCTGTGGCGCAACCCAGTGCTCTATAGCACTGAATCTAGTGATAATCTTAGCGGGAAACCACAAGGGCGATAATCCATCCAAACAGTAGATGTGGTATCGTAGTAGGAAGCAGGATCACAAATAAAGGAATCAGAACAGTAAACGGAATCCAAATACTAGAGGTAGTTCGCGCATCAGTTAGGAGTTTCCCTCCTGGGGTCCAAGTCAAATTGTGGTCCACAGAACTGAAGCTCATAACTCGTGGTTTAAGAGGAAACCATATGAAAATGTAGGTACGAATGACAATGCACATGTAATAGAAAGGAGTGACCGATCACTTCCTAAAACTCGAGACAACTCGATATCATCCACTACCTTCAGTAGCAAAACAGCATTGTACTACTAAATCCCAGCATAAATAATAATGCATGCTGTTGAAAGCACTGAAGAAAGTAAACCGTTATCCACCACTGTGTCCAATTTATGCAATCGTCTCAACCTCGCAGAGCGCAGAATTACGGAAGATTCGTTTCAGGCCGCTTGAGCCGCGGCTCTGACCTCAGTGTTCAGAGAATGATCGCAGATATCAGCAACGTGAGTTAAACCTGAAATTCACGTCACTAACCTCGTGCTACAAAGTGGAAAGAAGATACAGCCCTGTTGTCGCGAGAACTAATGAATTCATAGTGCGTACAGTATAGGCCAGTGGTCCTCAACCTAGGGGTAATTATCCCCTAAAGGATAAAGTGAAATTTTACGAGGATTGGGTCATCAAACTGTTGCTAAACAAAATTAAATACCAAATCACACGCAACTAACTACCTGGTCACTATTGAGTAGCCATCATTGACTAATAATAAGCGAGTAGTTAGTGAATTAGACAATTCTTGGTATAAATTTTATCACCTAAAATACGAACACATGCCTGTAAAGCAGCGTAGTTAAATGGCGCCTCTATGGGTGTGCACGTGATCGTTGTTCCTTTGATTCTGACAGTCGTCCGCCGGGTTAAAACACCGAGTTGAGAGAACACTAAGATAAGAGCATATGTCGGCCGACCAGGTAGAAGAACGAGCGAATGTTCACAAAGTAGAAGGGACAAAACAGGCGATTAGTGTTCAGAATGCATCGATACAGAGTGACGGTGGGAAGCTGTCCTCCAGGACGGACTTGGAAGGATGGTTGAAACAAATGAGAAGCCACTGACAGCTGCTCATGTTTGGTCAAGGATCGCAGACTAAAGCAAGGAACCGAATGAACTTGGAGCACGATTTATGATGTGCATTAGCCGAAAGTACACCAATATACCAGCAACCGTATCAGTAACGTATACCACTTCGTGATTACTTAAAAATTTCTCAAACGTTGACGTTTTCTTCTTCTGAAAATAACTAAGAACAGTATTCATTTTCCGCAATCTAAAGCGAAAAATGCAACAGTTAACAGATAATCAGCATTTTAAACTGATTTTTGAGGTGTATTTGCTTATAGTGAACCCGATTTGTGAAAAACAGCCTCAAAATGCTTGAGAACCACTGGTATAGGCGAAAAAACGGGTTACAAACGCCAGGATGTAGCCAAAGTTAAATGATAGGCAGATTTTCAATCAAGATAATAGACAGCGAGAAACGATGGTCCGTTAAAGTGAATGGCTCACAGCCCCTAAGTATCACTGACAAAGGAATAGGTACCATGAGTAAAGAAATGAAGTCATTAGCACGGGAGATAAAGATATAGCCCATACCGTTGGGTGGAGGGGGATCAGGTGGTTCACTGTCATCGAGAAAAAAAGGATTCTGGCGACAGGATGTCGGATTAGGTTTCTTCGAAAGTCTGCGATTCCTGCGCTGTGGAGTCCCGCTGTGATTCGGTTGTGGTAAGGTGGTCGGAGGTGGGGTCAAGCGGGTGCAACGAATGGTCCGTGGCTCCCCTTTCTCTTGTGATCCCGAGAGATGAGCTAGTGCATACAAATCCGACGCCGTGGGAGTGGAAGTTGTGTAAGCCGGTAGGGCCGTAGGGGTTTGGAGTACTTGCGATCCCTTGCGAGGTGAACCGGATACATATGACCGGAGGGAACACCGTCGAGGTTGAGTCAATAATGAATCCATGGTCGAGTCAGTTTTGGCGGTTTCATGTTTGCAAGTCGATACACCACGTAAACTACGTCTATTTACAGTGTTTGATGTGGAGTTGGTGAGACATGGCTCGCCATTAACACCGCTTGGCATAGATGGAAATACACGTCCCCTAGGAGCGGTCGTGTGATTAGAGGCATCATGAGAGCCGGAGTCACCATTGTCATCAAGTGACATGATTTCGGAGCTAGTGCGGCAGGTCTCAACGGAAGCGTCCACCTCCTAAAGATGAAGGTGGGAAAAATGGGCTTATTATTCAGTTGAAGGGAAAGTTGAAGGTGTTAGCAGTTGCAGGCGAAATATCCTCAATATATATGAAAAATGTTAGACAAAAAAGAGGGGAATGCAGGGCTTGCAAACGGTGAAAATAGCATTGAGCAACGCGTGAGTGACTGGAGGAGTAATATAAAACGACAACAGGATAGTGAGAACAAGTTCGTAAGAAGCCAGTACCTGATGTTGCAAAATGACGAAAATGATGCGGTCGAAATACATCCCCTTGGTAAGCAAGAACCAAGTCGAACAGTGGACACAGGAAATTGACGGGATCACGTCGAGCCGATCAGCGGAAGGTGGCCGAACCTAAACATTCCGAGATTGAAGATGAATATTGTGTTACCCAGCCGAAAGCAATGCACTCCATGACCGGTTGCGGACTTAACTAATTTTATCAGGTAAATAGCAGACCTCGAGCCCAGAACCATTGAAGTGTTAGTTGGGACCACTACCTCGTTAGACGCCAGTCCAGACCTAATTTCCATTTACTACATTAATTCTAGTGACCTAGTGATCGGAAAAACTTAGATTCGCTTCAGTGCGAATTACGGTCCACATTGTGATTGTGCGTCGCAATCCGATCACACAACAAGTACTTCAAATGACCCTCCAATCAGTTATTAAGCGCTTTGCCAAATTTTGCCCGTCGTGACCCGATAGCCAAAGGGGTAGAGGTTTCGGCTACTATCCCAATGGTCGTGCGTTCGAGGCCTGCTACCTCCACCCGATGAGATCAAATAAGGTCGAAACGCACCGTAGTGTGCGGTGTTTTCGAGCGGGTAACACCTAAGTTTCATCTGCTTTAGCTACGGTCCCAGCGATCGCATTGACCAAGGTTCATTTCAATGTGAGTCGTAATCTACAATCTATTCACACAACGAGTATTTCCAATTGACCCTCCAATCAATGAGGTTGCATTTCACATGCTGCTTTTGCGCACGTAGTGGTCAGACTAGCAAGTAATGAGAAACCTGGAAATCGCAGTACACTTGTGCCGAACGGAATCAAGAAGTTTTGCTCCATGCAACAGTGTGACAAAAGCCATTAAATAGGGAAAATCAATCAAGCAATGAGCTGAACTGAGTTGCGATATTAGACGACAGTAGGATGCGAACAGACGACTAACGAAAGTTAGACAATATATGAAGACAGAAGGGTTGTTCCGAGAATGTCTAGCCGATGGCGATTCTACAAACTGAGCTTCTATGTCACTCCGTTAAGCGAGGCATTTTCCAAAACCAACCAGACCCACAGCAGCATTTCCACTAGGCCTGAACTCAGGTGATTTCCACTAAAATTGGCATCAATGATCTACCTTCAAGTCAGATCAGGATCCTCAAACAACAGGCTGCAGAGGTGCCGATGGACGTCATACACACATGCACATTGGGAAGTCTTTCTTGACGATTCGAAAGCACTAGTGCACAGCGACTGATATCGAAATATCCTACAAATCCACTGGTGTCCAGTGCTCCATTAACCTAGATAAAACAAAGGTATTTGGTGGCGTGGTCATCCGACCATCCATTTTGGGCAGCGCGATTGTGCGCGAGGATTTGTTGAACTAATACCAGATTGATACAACAAGAATGAAGAGGTACTGGGAGGAAGCATGTGAAAACTAAGGGTGCAATAATCGAATGGTCACAGTGAGCGGACACCGGTGAGCACGGATGCAAACGAGTCGGAACAAAATTGCAGCCTTGCAAAACCCAGAAAGGGAACAAACAGCTGCTGTGTACTAGAAGACCAAATCCATCAAAGTCGGTAAGACGATTCTCTTTGCTTGGAAAATAAATCGTAAAAGGCGAAGTGAAATGTAAATGGCGGTGCACTGAGCTTTATCCTCTGCTGTTACAACGGAACTAAGGGAGTCAATGCCTCATAAGAGGAGGTACTTAGGTGATGACAGAAGAAAAAACGAGATATTGTGCGTCAACCAATGGTCGTTCACCGCGCGACACTAATAGATGACGATAGAGAACAGTGATTCAGGTTACCGACTCGGTGGCCAATATGAGATCATAGAAAACAAATAAAGTTTTCGATTCAGGCGAACATAAATAGAGACATCCTGTTTCAGCGATGCCCCAAGCAAAGTGACCCACACACATCAAGGTACTGGTATAATACTCTCGGTCAGTGAAACTATGAACGCAAGGAGTAGCGAGAACGGAAGGGCACTAACGCTTGAGCATACTAGGGTTATCTAACAGAAGACCAAGCGCATTCGGCAAACAGTGGCTCCGGAAAGCAGACGGCATAGTGCGAACAAGTTCACCTGAACCCTGAGGACCACCGAGTTTGTGTGTTCTCATGGATGATAAAAAGGCTATAACTTCTGAACGTTGGAAAAATTGGGCGAGGGATGTACTTCAGAGATCCGGAACAAATGCGCTATAGCTGTGCCGACACAATTAAGCACTCAGGTCATTAGGCAGAGTCCATACAAGAGAGGAGAATACGCGCGTACCGACAACAGCGGCTTTAATTTTGTAGTGGATTCCTTTTTCCGGATCAAAATAGTGATAGGGAAAGAGGAGCTAAACGAGTGACTGGAACTAGGACCGCCAGAGAGTGGACCAAATATGACATGACAATATGAGTGCTGATTTGACAGGGCTATTCGTAATCGAATGAGGCTGAATACCACGGAATCGTAGGCACAAGCGGCTGTTGTTGACGGGAAACGATACGGTAATTACGAAGTGATCTGCTGTATCGAAGAGTGACAATAATCAATAGGATGACGCCAATCTGAGAAATCACCAAAGAACGTTAACATCAATTGTGATCACTGAGGGATGGTGTGCAACGAAAATGAAGAAAACAACCGTAGGCAAGTGCTGACTCATTCTGGCTCAGTATTTGTTGTGCTCACGGAGAGTTACATGGTAATAGCGATGAGCTAGGAAAATAAATGGTATACCGAGTTTACCAGAGTGCCATTGCATGGACACTTTCCACTAGTTAAAAGGCCACCCTACTGATAGAGGATCAACGATCATTAGCATTCACCATAACATTCGCGCTGCATTGGTCGGGCATCAACTATTCCTTCGATGAATCACCTCTAAAAAGGTTGCAAAGGAATCAAGCAAGCGCTGCAATCTGAATCACTAGTATGCCGATCAAACAGAATAGCTGGTTGAGTAAAAAAACGCGCCGTAAGAGCGATTTGTCAAACAAGTGAGACAGAGTTGAGTGCAAGAAACAGCGTAAAAGGTGTTGGTTCAGTGTATCCTGGTGCGGTCCGGTTAAAGGAAAGCTCAAGCAACACCTATTCCCACCTCTACAGGTGGGAATAGCTCACCTGTGGTTGTATCAGAGGAGACCATCGAAGACACTCTTCGTCCACCGGGATCCAAGCACGCTTGCGAGCATCAAACTTCTCCTTGAGCTGGAGTAACTTAGTCTTGTCGAAATATATGAGGGGTCTTTAGAGGAAGCACAGAACAAAGAAAGGATAGAGAGTGGTGAGAAATAAGGGATCTGGCCGAAAACGCAACAAATTGATAGCATCAAAGGGGATGGTATGTGAATCACTCTGCCTGGAGAGGAATTTAGCCAGCAGTTGCATTCACACAAGAGTGTGAGTGACTGATCACTCCAAGTTATATAAATGGTCGAATCTGATCAAGAAACGTGGTCAGTAAGATAAAACACAGCGATCAACTTGGAAGTGTGATGATTCAAATAAGAATAAAGTAGTCTGGTACGGAATTAAAAGCGTATGTCCTCAAATAACGACAGAGGATTAGGTAAACGGAAAGGAACGGGATCTTAGGTTATAACTGAGCACAAACCTGATGCAGAAATCAAACATAAAACTGGATGAATTAGTAAAGCCTTTGTCAAATCAAAAGTGATATCAAATATAGGGATCCCATGCCGACAAAATAGTGGGAATTACCGGAAAACCTCAGGGTCAAGGTGCCTACACCTAGTGAACAACATGCCACCACAAGCAGCTGGCTATCGTGTAAAGGTAAACCGACATCACCGAGACAGCTTCCGTGCGGTTTCACTGCTTCGCGTCATAAGCAGCCGTTACCTCGAGGATAATTCAGCACCAAACACACGTTAAACAGGCAGTTCGATCAGAAGACGCAAAAGACGCGCCACTGGTGCCGACTGCGAGCCATGTCCTGTAAAGTCTCGATACAAGCGCACGGTGAGTCACGTGAACTCCAGCCCGGAAGGCGAGGAGGACCGGCGGCACCCAGTTTGATCGTAAGTGACCACATTTTTCGCTGTCAGGGCAACTTTCGTTCACTTCGAGCCCTGCGCCACCCAACATCTGGCAGACTAAACAAGGCCCCCCTGGGTAAACAGTGACCAGGTATACGCAGTACGTGCCCAAGCCAATAAAACTTATCCAGTGCTACCTGTTGTTCGAAGGAAATAACCGGTTTATCAATGCCTAGTACACGAGTACGCACATCATCGTTGCGAACAGGCTGGTGCCACTTGACATCAGCAATGTGCCGCAGACAACGATGATCAAAGACCTGAAGGCGCCTCAGATCATCAGACCGAAGGGCCCAAGTCTTACTCCCATACAGCAGGACGGCCTTCACTGCGGCCTTTTTCCATTTGCGGTACCAATGGTCAGACACTGCCTGCCAAGGTCCCGCAGAGCAGGGCGCGGTCACTAACCTCAAAAAGGTAAGGCAAGACTAGCCACGAACTCGGTCTGTTCATACCAAGTGTGTTAAAGTCGCCGAATCACTGAAACCTCCACAAACTACACTTGGCTAGCAGTACTCTGTCTGTTGGGTATAAGGAATGGGGCTTTGGCACGTAGATCAGTCGAGTATGTGCCAAGCGATCGAACTAGGATATTTCCGTGAGCGAACTTTTCCGTGTGCAAACTTCGCTATGCGCAATTTCCCAGCCGCGCATTTTCCGTGTGACTTTTTACTGTACGCAGTTTCGTGTGCGCTTTCATCATGGAACCCTTGGCATGATCAGATGAGGAATATCATATTCAGTATTCGTTGTTTTTTTATTTGGGCACAATTAACACAAAACTTGCATCACATCGCGTTGAATGGCACGAAAGAGATGGTGTCTAGTAGGTAATATTGTTGAAGTAAGTTGCACATCTGAAAGTGTTTGCCTGATGTACGACAACACCGGAGTAAATATCGCAGGGTAATCGCTCAGATATCTCAAATAAGCTGAGGTGGAAATTGCGACCAAAAAAGGGAAGAATGATAGTCAGATTTCTATAGCCGGAGTATTTATGGTTAGAAGCAAAAAAACTACTCATAGAATAATTAAAGAAGCGAGAGATCTAAGCGACAGCCTGGGAGATTGATACGTCTGATACAACTGATGATGAAAAGGTAATTCCGATAACAGGGCCCCTCTGAGATAATCTGATAACCAACTGCAACTGGTTTTTCGTGATTACTCTCTCCATGGAATAAGGTCAAACCTGCGATAATCGAGTGTTAATCGATGTACTCAAGACAGATCTTTGGGTAAACTGGTTCTGAATCCAATGAGAGAAGGAAATCAAAAGTTCAAGTCCATATTTAACAGTGCGGACTAAGCCGACGGAGGGCTGACAGCGAGCGTTCAACGAACTTGAGAATGTGGTCATCAATAGAACAAATGGATGCACTTAACACGAAACGATAGCACGGGGCGGAATGTCATCGGATTATAGTAAAGCGAAAGTTAAACGCAGGACATCGTGGAAGACAATGGACTTGCCTTCCGTCTGGTCCCAGTTGAATTGAAGTAGCCAGCTGTTCGATGGTACTAGCTACATCATGCGGATCGATGCCCGTACAGGCGGTAATTTGATGAATGGTGAAAACGCACTGGTGAAAGTTGAGAGACTCTGTGTCGGAAGGCACTGACTGTGTTCCATCACAGTCTGTATCGCTCTTAAAAGAATTCAAGATGAACGGCAAAACTTTGGAACGCCAATAGGACTCATACGATAGACGACCCAATTCGGATAATGGTTTCTCTGGTGAACCGGGTTGTCTTTCGATACGGGAGAGCAAGAAACCTTGGGAAAGAAGAGAAAAGCGCAGATTGCATCGCATACTGATGTTAGTAAATGTAACAGGCATTGGAGCATGAACCCGATTCGTCAGTCAGTGGGAGCATCGGGAAAAATATGAGTGAAATGAAGGCCGATTTCTCACCTACATAAATGATACAGACCACACCTATTGTGAAAACCTGTCCATTGTTACTTGGGCAAAGATAAATCAAGACAAAAAATAAAAAATAAGAGAATCGAATCACGACTTGTATTGTAGGGCATGGAGCAGTGACCAGATCTCGAGCAGAGACGTGGGGCCAAAGACGCCCTCTGCTTTCAAAGGTGAGTGACTTTAATAGAGTGTGGTAACCAATAAGTGGATGTACTGCGCCAAGTTGGACGGGACCCGGCCACCCCGATTCCGTCTCAAGGTGGAGGGTTGCGCCCAGAAAAGTGTAGATGGAGTTCCGAACCCTGAACAGGAACGAGGAGAGCGCGACTGGTCCATGAAAATCATCAGATTTAGAATGAACAAGTTACACACTGAATCATAGGAAACATCGACTTCAATCCAAAAATTAGAGCTTAATGGATCGGGTGGAAGTAAGATTTACGATTATATCCTGAATGAATGCTTCCTTGTTGGGTAATCGTCCCAACGTGAACCGGTTGTGTCAATGATGCATCCGGCAAGCCCCGAGATTGCTACACTTCTCCTAACTCGCAATGCCGCCACGGACAACCCCATTGGCATGGGACCATGAAGAACAACGGTTGCCACATAAATGCTGTGGTCAAGTGGGCTCAAAACACTGCCATGAGCCTGAACAACCCGATAACATGATGCCGAGCAACGGTAGGAAACCGCCACAAAAGGCTTTGTAATTAATCAACGCCGGAAATAACGATCACGCAGACTTAGGACTAATAATCAACTCCTATACATAAGCCCCATACATCCCACCGCCTTATACTCATCAAACTAAACTCACCTACCAATCCGTTTTCCATGGCAAAGACCGTGAAAGCGATTGATATACTGGTGCCAAAGAGGTAAACGAGAAAACGCAACAGATCTCAGATTACTAATGAGTAGGAAGATTTTAATCGTAATTTTAATGTTATAGTCTCAGCTGCTCACAATCTACATAGCACTGCCTATGTCCAGAAAGGCACTAGTGGTGCGTATTCCCTCGGCCACCTACTGAGGATCAAACCTATGAATGCTAGAGGCAGATACCAAATAGTCAGCAGTTTAAGCCACTGAACCATGGAGGACGACGGTTGGGCTACACAATTTGCAAGCTAACTGGGATATAGCACGACCTATCTTCCACTGCCACGCAGGTTGCTACCTTAGCAGATGACAGTGGCTAGCCTCCGAAGGTCATGACTTCCTCTCACTAGATGCTACGTCCATAGCATTTGAAACTAGGAGGCTACATCTTATATTACAAATAAGTAGGAGGATTTTAATTGTAATTTTAATGTGTTCGCCCCAGCAGCTCACAAGCTACATAGAAAGGAACGGCTCACTAGGCGGACCGGAAAAGAAGAAAACGTTTCATAAACTTTATCGTGATTGTTCCTTAAAAATTACACAGAAGTTACATTGCAAAACGACCAAATGTTGTACAGATACGATGCAAATGAAGTGTAAATAAGTATGTTCATCCTCAAAGCGAGAAAATATCAGGGGTCAACGAAAACAAGACTGACAAAGCAAGACTCACTGAAATCGATCAGAAAGCGCCCATATGCTAGCTTCTGATACGGAGGTAGGACCATTAGACAACTGAGATTGAACTTTTGCGCCGAACGCTTCTCCTTTGAGAAATATCCAACCAAATGGAAACAGTTGTCTTCCCGAAGAGCCACCACGTAAAATAGGAAAGGCTCCACATCATAGTATAATGTTTTATGGTCCAAAAACAACTTAGCCAGCAGACACAGCTGCTGACAATATAGCCGAGAGGTGTATCCGTCTACTTCAAACACGGATACGTTTCCACAACGATAAATTTCATTCCCAGGGGGAAAACTAAAGGGGCACGTTTCCTGCATAGAAAAAGGGAGTAAGGAGGGGAAAATAAAGCGAAATGTACGTACTCAGACATGGGCAAAAGGCCAATTCAACGGTCTCAATCACCAAGTTGGTAATTACGGCCACATGCTCAGGTGAAGTTCGAGATCGGGAAGGTGGTTGCGTGTGCTCTAAGTAATACTCTGGTTAGGTTTCGGCACGTTAGCAACACGAACCGATTTTCGTTTCGCAGACTAAACAAGTTGCTATCTATTTGAACAGCCACACTACCATTTGTAGAGAACGCAGTGGGTATCTCGGTAAAGCAGTCACTAAAAATCAGGAGATAACAAACTGAGTAGACTGATCGGCCGCTTTCAGTGTTTCTTCGTGGGCGGTGAGAACTGGTGCTTCGCCGAATAAATGCTTTACATTTCAAAGGTGCAAAGCGCGCGCTAAAGCGAGCAGTGTTATGCGTCAGCCCCGGATGCAGCGCTTACATGACAATCGGACCCGCGTGCGATGTTTGTCAGTCGTTCAAGATAGAGAACCTCAGGAGAAATAAACGAACGTGGAACATAGACATGAAAAATTCCACCACCAAACTAACAAGGAAATAGATAATAAGATAGCTTTGACATGCGCACTCTAATTACCGCGGTGCGTTCAGAGGAAGCTGCTCAGATGTTCAAATGGAGCTGTGAGTCGCCATGCAAAAATTTCCGCGGGTACAGGAATCAAAGATGTGCAGCGTCTCAAACGAAAATAATCAGCTAAATAATGGGCAATCATCAAATCAAGGACAATCGGGATAGATTGTTGCTGTGAGGCCGATCAAGCCCTGGCCCGGAGAAAAAAGGTGATGAATGCGCTGATACTCAGTGGTTCTACCGCTCGTTGTAGAAGCATGAGATCAGGAAACAAGTTAGAGGGTACGAAAGAAGATATCTGCATTTAGCCCGGGGCCAATGGATTCAGCAAGGAGGTGGAAGTCTGTCACCGTGTTCAAAAGTCTATTGAGCTGAGGAAGTACTATGTAGGTGATTTGGGAGATAAAATTAATGGCAACCGCTAGTAAAAGACCACATGGTCTATGGGATAAATAATTTTGAACAGAGGAGAAAGACCGATCACCAACGACTCATTACCGTCGTTGAGCAAAGTAAGGGAGGGACGTCAGAGCAGAGACCAGCAAATGTTACGGTGCCTTGATTGTGCGCGAAGTATCAAGAGTAAACCGGAACCTAGTATCACATGACCACCAGAGGTTACGTATGGGCTAGGATTGATGAGAGGCAGCCCGCACTCACGCAAGTGGCACTTAAAAGAATTGGCCCCCAGGTTCAGGTGATCCAACTAGTAATTTTGACGCAGCTGATCGACCGCACTGATCTTAAAGCTCAGTACAACCTTCAAGCTGAAATGAAAAATTGCATTGGGCGTTCATCCGCCACAGTCATTTCTCAGCCAAGAGAACTTATTTCGGGCACATGAGAATAATGAGTTGGAACAGCTTCTTGGTTTTTCAACGGCTTAGACAGTTCCCAATCCACGGTACCTCACCATCCACACTGTTATCGGGCGATTATGAGATCAACAATAAAAGAGAAAGTTACTTATTCGTCCCAGCTACGCACAAGCCAGATAGTGTAATCCCCAATTCGGAAAAGCACCAGATGATTACCGGCTGGGGACCGAGGGAATGCGCACCACCGACGAGCCTCAACAAGACGAAGTCTTCGCCTCGTTCTTTTCCGGTTTAAGACTAGCTGGCATATGAGCTGTTGGAACGAATCAGTAAAATTCCAAAATCGTTCAGCAGACACTCTCAGTGTTGAGCGAAAGTCGAACCTAACTTCCCAATTGAACCAGCACTGTGATTCAAACAGATCTGCTGGAGTTCAAGAAACCCCACAACAATTACCAGGCGTCAAAGTTGAAAAGCAAATGCCCGGGAACGCGTTTTACCTAACATGCGAGACTCGACCCCAATCGATGTCCGGTACAATCGCCATGTTTATCGGTGACAGCTGACGCGGCGAATCAAACTGATGGCGCGGACTCATGGACTGCGAAAGCCAGTAGCGAGAGCATACTCTCCAAGCTGCATACTTAACCAAGGCGGGATGAGTGAAATTTTACCAGGATATAATGATGTCATGACCAGACCAGAGGAAAATGCTCCAGAACGACTGTTAATCTTACACCGGCATGCATAATCCCAAGTTGAAGGTGGTTGAGTTCACGAGTATTTGCTGCTCAGTCGACGACATGTGCCTCGACGTAAATGATTGTGTTGGAAAGCTGTGTTTTTGATACAGGAGTTGATTTAGGAGCGCAGACAAAAAAAGAGCTTTGATACTGTAACGTTCCCAGAGTTGGTGTTCTGTCACCCACAGGCAATTTAAATGAGGCAACCTGACAGTCAGAACGTCATGTGCAGTGATACTTTACTAGAGTTAGGTGTAACAACTGGAGAAATACGCCAGTGGTTGGCAGTGTCCCGAAGGTGGACTAAAAATGGTTTTGATAAAACCAATCCGGAAAAGGATAATGCAGCTAGTCCAGTGAAGAGCAGTGAAAGTACATTACAACGCTGAAATCGGGTTTATTCCACAAGCGGAATTCTGGTCTCGGAAAAGAATTGAGTAATCAAATGCGCCGCTTTGCGGGATACCCTGCCTAGCCACAATCAGGTTCAATGTCCGTGCGAGAGCATTCCACATTAGACTTGGCCGTCTTCTCAACCTGAATTAGGACCATGTTCACAACAAAAAACCACCCAACGAATTGCTCCAGGATTGACCGCAAAATTCCTAGCCAAGGAGAACATGGATGAGTAAACAAAGAAAATTACACAATGCCAAGAGAAACTTTGAGTCCTGTAAAATGTGAGGAACACAAACGTGATCGAATCCGCATCTTACCCACGCAACAGCATATTCATAACTGTGTATAATGAGTTGTGCGTATTATACATCCACAACTTATGGCGCACACTATCGTTACTAGTGCATAACCGTTATTAGCATCGCCATTTACGTAGAGTCATGCCCTTCGAATCACAACAGCAGAGTAAACTAATTGATAGCGACTGAGCCACATGACGCCTTCTCTGGTCATGCGCATGGAAACCGATAATCGAGTGAAGGAGCCCAGCCAAGAAAGTACCGCATGCAGGGTAGCGTACGTGGACAGTGAACGCAATCGATGGAACAGACTGGCTGGATGTCAAACGCACCTGTCTATCACACAACGCGCATGTTCTCGTTGCTATTGACCGATGATGCCCACTCGCCGACCGATGTAGGGGACACGAGATTACCGCACGCAAGCATGCACAGACACACTATCCGGAACCCATGACGAGACAAGGCCTTGTGAGTGCAAATATTGTGAGGACGTATTCAGTTTAATACAACCTATTCACCAAAATAGTGCGGTTCATCCTAGTGGCTGGTATCTGTGTTAGGACGAGGAAAAATAAATCACAGAATCGTAGATTTCTCATGAAGATCAGGAATACTGTGGTAAGCTGCAAGTAGCAGTTTGTGATGGATTCACGCACAAAATATTGTTTTTCTGGTAAAACGAAGCCTAGCTAAAAGACTGGTAAATGTAGAAAAAACAAATGAATAAATAAAGTTTTTATACTCGAGAAGGCGAGGCACGCCTTTACAAGCATAATCATGTTAACATAACAATGAGTGATCAAGAATGTACAAAAATCCGATATGTTTACCATAACAGTGCATGTTTGTATTCATGACGCTTCTTCACGGCAGTTCGGTTAAACCAACTCACCCTTAAACTAGGTCTTTTTAATGTGGATAAAATTCATTCCACTTTATTTGGTCAGTTCTGCGTAACTGATAATCTTCCACTAACTTGCACACATCGCTTATGCTAATTGTGGCAAAGTTGTGTAACTTTATCACGTGGCATTTTTAAATAACTTCCATACACGTTGTACAAATCGCGGATTCGTTGACAACTAAGTTACTCCAAATGCTCATTTAGCCAGTATATTTATTTGATATCGTCATTTCGAGTGATTAACGTTTGTTTGATATCCCCGGTGTGGCTGCGCTTGATGTGCAAGTTGACAAAGTGCCTACCTGTCTACTATCCACCACTTCGTCTATACTGGCTCCAGGAGACAGTTGGTCGTTGCTGGAGGGGACGGGGTGCACGGTCCTTGTGACCGTGTTAGACTCAAATAATGGTTCTATGCACATGGTTTGTGTGCGGAGCAGGCTACGGTTTAACCACCGTCATGTGAGCGGTTGATTCCCCAAATGCAGCATGATTGTGTTTGCCTGCGAATGAGTGTGGGCCGGCTCCGTTGGTGAAACGTGGCTTCCATCCACATGCCTCCCGGTCTTATTTCTTCGGGTTTACACTAAATATGGGGTGTGTGGGTGGAACTGTGGGTGGTGCAGCGCAAGCCATCCATGGTCTATCTGTAGGCGCAGAAGTCCTGTGGCTATCCTGTGGAGACCACAGTGACAGGCAAATCCGGAGCCGGATGCCACCAACCATGTATATACGAATGTAATTGTGTGTGTAGCTGTGTAGTTTGTGCTTGTAGTGTTGTTGCTCCATTCTAGTATGTTTGATATCGTCGGCAATGTGCGAATAGAAGATTGAAGTTCGCAGGTTGGAAAGGATTATCCAGATATCCACGGAGCAGTGGCTTTATTTTGTGGCGAGTCACGACCGTCACGTCACAAGATTGTTAAGCAAACATTTGTGGCTATTATAGGGAAAACGGTTGCCAGTCGGAAACCCACTACGTCCTGGAACATTGCCGCCGAACTACCTTCTGAAACGGGTTATAACCGAACTACCCAGCTGGCACCACGAGGAGATTGTTCGATTAGCCAGCGAAGGACGGAGACGATTCACTTGTTAAAACGAACGAGGAAAGTGGTAGCTAAGGACGTCTGAAGAGCGCTTTCGTGCAGTACAGAATGATGGGTCGAAGTGATTTTTTACTAGACGAGATCCGCAATAAGGAACTTGCTACCGTGCCAGGGTGTTGTCATGGATAGATCACAGAGATTTTTGTTGGACGGTAGGACGCCAGTCTGCACAGAATTCTAGTGTGAGCAATGGGTGTGTTCGACGCTGTGTTTATGACGCAGGAAAAAGAAGCGAACCACTCAGCATCGTTAGTTCACGCACCCGGCTCCGATGGTTGGGTAAGGCTTTGCGCATGCCAACCCACCGACTCCCGCGACGTGCGTTGTGTACGCGCTGGGCGTGCGGATGAAAGAAGAGGAGGGGTGACCAAGCGATAAGTTGGTCAAGAGGAACAAAAGCCCTTACTTCCAAGTTGGCCTCGGTTGGAGCCTCCCGGCTCCCTAGTTGGGGACCGAAGTTAGATGAACAGGTTTGGCTGGATACACTTTTGACATGGCTAGGAGCCAACTTCAACAGCGTTTGTGTGAGGAGTTTCTTTGTCTCTCCCCTCCAGCTTAGCCCCCCCCTCTCAAACCACGATCTCATTTCTTAGGCATAATATAACTCTTTTGCGGCACAATATCGGCTGTTGGCTCTCCGGAACGATGTCCATCCGTTACCGGTGAGTTAGCCGGCGTGCCTCACATTTTCCTTTTCTTTTGTATTGCGGCACAATAGCTGAGGCGTTTTCCACCCGCAGCTAACGTGATGTGGACTAGGGTAATACGCTGAGAAAAGCAATCAAGGAAGCCACATCGAATCGCTTAATCCGGTTACTCGAACATAACAAGGTGCAATGATTGCAGATGTATGACGGATAGCGGAAAGAATTAGTCAACACTAGAACTTATCCATAAAAGAGACGTGATAGAAAAACGTATTAAGCAAATGGGTGCGCCAACGAAAACGCGAGTACCGTAAAGAACCGAACGTAAAACCGTCGCACTGGCAAAGACAATACTTTCAAGTGACCACTGGCTATCTGGTCCATCGTCGACGATGTAAACAAGTTCCGAGCACAGTAGGAATTATACATAAAAACTATTTCCAGTGACGGATGCAATGGCATATGGTCATCCGTTTCCTTCAAATGCAACCATACCATACCACCACATTGGACACCGGAGACCGCAGTGAGTTTGAGATCAAACATCCTCCTAAACAATAGCCAAATGAAAGGCGATGTGAGTGAGCCAGAAAAAAACTCGAGCACACCAAGACGCATCCGATTAAGCAAAGCGTGAATGGAGGGTTCGGACCAAATTGGTTTCTGGCAATGTCCGTTTCCTAAGTTACGCCACAACAGTAACACACACGATGTGTACGTCGCTTGCATCTGTATCCTCAGAATAAAACTGCTCAAAGTTTGCACACTGAAGTCATTGATACCAGTAAAAAAAATGGCTGTTCATTCATAAAAGTTGGTGCTCCATTAATAAACAGATATTCGAGTCCCAAAAATTGAAAATAATTATAGATACCAGAATGGACAGACCACACGCTAGCTGGCTGTAGCGATAACAGCTGACCTACAATTGACAACTTTCACCCACATACAAAGATTCAAGAACCTAAGAAGTCCAGAGTTTGAACCCAACTCCACGGGGTCAACATCCACAAAACAAAAACCAACAAGCAATGGAGTCACAGCGGTCACCACCTGGTAGCAGTCTTTCAGGCCACTGTGGTGGAAAAAAGTGGGAGACCTTAGATCCTACACGTTTGAGGTGGGTTGAAGGATGTGGCGGGACGGCATATAGCTACAGTCAGAGTGATCTATTTGTATTCGACCAGCCGAGGTAATCCTATGAATCACCCTACCCAAATGACACAATCAGAAAGCTGCCATAGAAAAGCGTGATGTAAGGTATTGGATAGGAAAGAAAAAACGAAATGACACAACAAACTTACAATGTGCCGCATATAGACTTTCCGTGTTTTTGAATACTTCAAGCAGAATTCACAGATATATAGAAGATTCAACCTGTTTGGGAACGAAGAGGGAAGAAGTGGGGGGGGGGGTAAAGAGAAAAATTTGGGTGCAAGCATACTGCGATAAAAACGAATGGCTACCATCTACAAATAGGTCAAGTAAAGTTGTTGAGAGTCACCACTATTCACCGAATAGTATAACAATGAAGCAGTGAGAAAAGCGAACAGCACGAGACGTCGTCAGGACATGTTTCGAAACAAGAGGAAGCGTACTATGGCCTTCGTCTGTACACGATGCGATCATACCCAGACAGGTCCGTATCTACAATGTGGACGCTGATGATGACAGCAAAACAAGGTGATCGTTACCATCGGTAAAGACTGTCCCGTCTTGGTATCAATCGAGTGGTCTGGGTGGGAAACAACTAGGCGCACATATTAGACGAAGCGGTACAAAAGTGGACTGTGATGTACCACGCCGCCAGTTGGGTTGGTGCGATTCTAGCCGTCATACCACATTAAGACTGGATAAGTAGATTTAAACAGTGATCCATGAGATCAGTCTAGCGGCCGACTGTACTATAGCACAGAAAATAACGGAACACATAATGGATAGGTAAAAAAGATTTTGTTTTTCAAAAAAAGAGGGAGGGCACGAAAATCAGAAGTCACGTGACGTTGTCTATCGTGTGTTCCCTAAAGCTGAGAAGCAAGGTGACACAACGGTAAGCAAGCTGACCCACCGATATTTTGGGCTGTGCTCGCTTACTTACGGTTAGCTGAAGTCTCGAATAGTAGGACGATTCTGGAAAAGATGATGATAACTGCCACCGACGGAGGCTACTGTGGTTCCAAAATGGTGTGTGACCAAATGAATCCAGAAAGTGGATGCGCATCACTACGCTTGATTCAACATAAGTGTCTGACGACTGCGATGGTGGCCACGGTGAAACAAATGTGCTCGAACTGATCAAAAAAGTTCATAAAAATCAAGGAACAATGGACAATTCTAATGCTATTTCCAAATGCGAACAATTCATATGGTATGAATAAGGCAGAACGATCAGCTGTCGTGCAATCGAGACCGAATTTGTGGCTGCATTACCCCAAAACAAAGACAACCTACGATGACGGTGATGGCGTTGGGTAACGGTTCACAAATAATGTTGGAGACTCCTGATGGTTGGGTGGGTTAATTGTATACAACAAAGTATTACGACCAACGGTGAACGAGGATCAAATGTTAGGTGAAAGGCATAAACGATCGAAAAAATACTGGTTATCAGGAAGGGAAGGAACTACGAGGTTTCCAGTCACAAGAAAAACGCAGGAGCGTGCTCACCTAGCGTATTCGGAAGGATACGGAGCGGAGTACCAGGTGGTGATGATATGACGGCCGAGCTGTATTCGTGGAGGATATCTTTGTTCGTCTTGTTTGTAAGCATCAATGGCACCGGTGAGGCAACCAGGTTGGCACTTCGGATCACCAGATTCTTTGGAAAGAAGTAACTTTGGGTTGTTTGCAGGTGGCAAAGACAAACTTGACTCCATGGGTTGTGGCAAGCACTAAATGTATAATGAAATCAGGGGATCATTGGAGGTGGACGAAAGTAAACCAGCAACCATGAATCGGTTAATGCTGATCTAAGCAAACACAAGCGCAGTAGGGAAAGTTACCGGTTATCGTCAACACGACAACCATAGGCTAGAAAACAATCTACTAGTTAGTGTTCAAGAAATCTAACAGTCGGCCTTCTGGAAACACATGCGCCGCCTCAGGTCAAGAAATCTGTATTTTAGTCACTCATATGGGAGATGCGGCAGGAACTCATTAAGGATGGTTCACACACTGCCGTTGGTTAAGAACGAGAGCGTGCAGATAGTAGAGAACAGTGTAGCACCAGTAGTTGTCTGATCACACTGCCTGACCATAGTGGCCGGATCGCATGTATGCCGTTATGTATAGAGGCCAAGAGGAGATTATTGTCAGCATTCATAGCGAATACAACACAAATACGACGATTTATCGACCAGACTAAGAGAAAGATGGGAACATTTTAATTATTGTAACTGAGAAGAGAGCCCAGTAACGGAAATGTGCTACGGCATCGTGCGTTTAAGAGAGTTGGTATGTCGATTTTGCAAGACGGGGTAATTTGCTTAACTTTTAACCCGTCCTCTCCCACATCGAGGAGTCTTTCAATTAGGCTCTGTAAAAGCTCGACGTCATGATCGTATCGTAGCTGGGGAATTGGATCACTGGACTCAAGCGCGTGGAAGATCACGAGATTAAAACGCCTCTGGTCGGCCAAAGTTGACCTTGCAGTACGAGGTTTTTCTCGCGCTTCACGTAGTCTGACCTGTCGCTGAATTGCAGCGGCTGAACGCTTTTCATTTTCTGCCTTTTCTTTCATTGTACTTTCCGGGTGCCTTCAGTACACAGGCCCTCACACACTGAGACAGCTTTGTTTGTAGAATACAAACAGGTGAAATAATCGTGTCACGTGTTGCTGGGCTGTTGATAACTACGGAACTTCCCACCGGTAAGTTGGCACGGGACTAACAGGAAAGCTTATCTGAAACCTGAAGGCGCTTCCGGCTAGCTAGTTGGGCCAAACACACGGAGCTGCTCTCAACGGAATGATTCACCCTACAAGGCGGTTTGCGATACTGCTCTACCTTCGGCTGTATCTCGTTTCAGCAATTATTACACAAAATTTGAAAGAAACCATGCTGGATTTCACGACAACGCAGGAAATGCTCAATCGACAGTCCAATGCATGAAATATGGAATTTAAGGAGACACAACACATATGAGTGCATTTGCTCGAGTTCCGACGACCTTGGAACATAAACGGCAAGTCGATTCTGTGGGCATTGTGTAAAATCCGGGACCAAGTTGGGGCCAGTTGTGGAGCACAAAGTATTAATAAGATCTCCGAAGCTAAACAGAGATAACATAAGTATGTAATGTCGAAAAAGCCAGGATCAGCAAAAAAACTGAATGCTATTGTAATTTCCGTAAAAGAATTCCAGTGTAAGGAGGGACCAAACAAGGAAAAAGCCTTGTTAGCACAGACAGGAAAAATAAAACGGTCGCTAAGCGCCAGCTCTGTTGTATCCCGTTCCGCCTTAAATTTCGCCATGGTTCTGATGTTACATTATTTGTAACCGGATGGTGAATATGGTTGGCGGCATCCAGTTTCGGATTTGCCTGTCACTGCGCCTACAGAGGGACCATGGGTGGCTTGAGCTGCACCACCCACAGCTCCAACCACACACCACATATCCAGTGTAAACCCGAAGGAATATGACCGCGAGGCAGGTGGATGGGAGCCACGTTTCATCAACGGAGCCGGCCCACACTCACCCACAGGCAAACACAAGCACGCTGTATGCGGGGATCAAACCCACACAATGCGGTGGCTGGACCGTAGTACGCTCCACAATGAGTGCATGGAACCACTCTTTGAGCCTAGCATGATCAAAAGTACCGTGCACCCCGTCCCCTGCAGCAACGACCAACTGTCTCCTGGAGCCAGTATGGACGAGGTAGTGGGTTATAAACAGGTAAGCACCTGGTTAACATGCAGATCAGGCGCAGCCACAGCTGGGATGTCTAACAAAAGCCAACCAATTGTAAGGGCAAGATGAATTCAAATGAAGCGGGTAAGGCACACAGATACCACGAGATAACTCTTCACTTAATGGGCGTATGAAATAAATCGGTTACGAACTAATCCGCGATAAGTTCAAGAGGTCAGAAAATATATATCAAGAAAATGAAACAAAAGCGAGAATGTTATCCAAGTGAGCAACAATTAGCTTCAGCGACGTGTGCAAGTTTACAGAAGAGTACAAGTAGATATTATTAGAAAGAAAATCATTAGGGGACTTGGCATACAAACACACGGTTAGTAAATCGAATGCAAGCTAACTACAAACACTGCGCCGTTTCTGTCTATGTTTTCTGCAGGACCCGTCGTCGCTTCGGTGGTGGTCCCGAGTGGCCTAGCTCACGGCTCACTAGGCCCTGCCTGACTCAGACATCCGCGACCGCATGTGTTACAGCAACATGCGCTCGATATCGATGGAGTACAATCCATCGGCGCTTGTCGCCTCTTCTTTGATTGTATGAGGTCTTTATCCCGCACTTCGGCAATCGCCTTCGTGATCAGACAGCGCCATGTACGCCGATCAACCGCCTTCGATTCCCATGATCTGCATTCAAGATGAGCACGTGGGAGGTTCACGTTGATCAGGTCCTGGTGACGTAAGTTTGGTTTCCCCTCATGCCGCTTTCCAATACTCAGTTGACCATATAATAGTTGTTTCGGTATCCACGTCGAATTCATACGCCACACATGACCGAGCCACCTCAGGTGTCTCAGAAAAAGTATGCAGCCCAGTACATACATTCCACATCGATGCAACACTTCCGTGTGCGCAACTCTATCGCACCAACCGATGCACAGAATCCGTCGCAAACACTGTTGATGGGACAGCTCGAGATATCGTACATCTCGCCGGTACATCGTCCACGTTTCACTGCCGTATAGAAGAACGGACAGCACCATGGATTTGTACACCATTTGCTTCGTGTCAACTGTAAGCTGATGGTTGTTCCACACTCGGTACTCTAGCTTCCCGAAAGCTGCCGATACCTTCGACACTCGAATACGCAGCTCACTGGGAAGCTGCTGGTCCGTCGACATCACACTACTAGGGTAGCAGAAGCGGGAGATGGTTTCCAATACGTCATCACCAATGCTGATTCGCGGCAATATTGTAGATTGCACCTCCGGTGAAGGCTGAAAGAGACACAGTTTTGCTTGTGTTGATAGTAAGCCGGAATTCGGCCGTTCTCCCATCCAGTGCACTAGTCATTTGCTGCAACTCATCCGCGCAGTGTGCAAACAACGCACAGTCGTCAGCAAACAGCCATATACTGATGTTTATCTCACAGACTACGGTTCTCGCACGGAAACGACGGATGTTCAACAACCCACCATCAATACGGTGCTCCACACGAACACCGTAAACACAAGCAGCATCAAAAGCACACGACATCATGCCATGAAGATATATATTTAACAGGGCAGGCGCTAAGACACAGCCTTGCTTCGCACCAGAGACAACTGCAAAGTCATCCAAGGTCTGTCCACACAGTTGTACCCTCGCTCGCATACACTGTGCAGACATTCAATTAAACTTACAAACTTACGCGGGCAATCAAATTTACCTAACACCAGCCATAATGCCTCTCGGTTCAACGTTTCAAATGCCTTGGTGAAATCAACAAAAAGCGAGTACAACGCTTGGTGTCGTTCTCTGCACCACTCCCGCAACTGACGAGCCGCAAACACCATAACTAGAGTGATACGACCCGAACGGAATCCACACTGCTCTTCCACCACCTTAGGTTCCGCAACCTGACTGACGAGGCGGTTGAACTGGACTCGGGTAATCACCTTGCCCACACAACTCAGCAAGTTGATGCCACGATCATTCATACAACATTGCTTGCTCGCTTCCATCGCATGGAGGCTGGAACTTACCGTGGTGCGATGGTTTGTGTGCCTCAGTGATCCATTGAGCTATACTGGGTGGTGCAATTTCGCACCTTCAGAGTCACTCATACCAGGTTGGTCAATGGTCACAGGCCAGACAAACTCAGCATCCAGGTCCTCCAGGTTGGGAGTTGGAATGAGAGTGGCTCCTTATTCCTTAAAACGGACTCCTTGTAGCCCAGTGCCAAACCAGCTGCCTTGCGGACAGGTTTTTGAAACAAAAATTTTGGTTGAGAACCCTAATCGTTCTCCTGTCTAGGCCTGGGCAACCTGACAGTATCCTGCCCACGCAATACAATGAATCTCACTTCAAACAAATTTCTGATGCTCTGGCCACCGCAGAGGATAATCAACGGTGCCCTATTTGCTGCATCGGGCAGGGTGGATAGGGGTTTCGATGCTAATGTTCAAGCCTTCCCGTCTTCTTATTCCCTCTCTTGCGCCTTTTCACTCTCATCGTCCCGTTCCAGGTTCACTTTTATCCCCCTGTTTTCAACTTCCACGATTCTTGACCCTAACCCAACATGCTTCAATAGTCGCTTGTCTTTTAGTTTCAACTCAATGTGAACGCAAAGTGTCATTCCTGCCCTGTCAACAGGCCCATGTCCAAGCAAGAGGCCCAGTCGAGTTCATCGGCTTCTATTTGGAGCCCTCGATCCTCCTTCAGATTGGCATGCCTTAATGTTCGCACAATGCTTCAGATCGGTCAACAGGCAGAACTTGCCCGAACATTAGAGATCCTCTTGATCGATATCTGCTGCTTATCGGAGACTCGCCTGCAAGACACGAGCTCTGTGTTCACTCTGCGATCCCCTTCAGGTGACACCAGCAGCACTTTTTCATTGCACCTATCCGGTGACGATGCAGCTTCGAGCACTAGCCAAGCCAGTGTTGGTACTGCGCTGAGTCCCCGGGCTGAAGCTACTCTGGTTGATTGGATTCCAATCAGTAGCCGGATGTGTGCGGTCCGATTGGTTGGATCGTTCAAAACTTCGA